CGATCTTCGCGTTCTATGCGAGTGTGGAGGAGGTCCTTGCGACGGCGGACGGGCTGCAATGGTCCATGGCGACTACTTCCGATGCTGGCGGGGCGATTCCTCAGTGGATCCAGCGGAGCTGGACCATGGGCGGAGTCCCTAAGGCTGTTGTCGCTGATGTGGGCTTGTTTCTGGCCTGGACGGCCCGCCGGAGATCATAGGCGACTCTTAAGACAGTGTGGAGGTAATTACTGGGTACAATGGTGCAGAAGAAGAAGTACTACAGATGGATTGCACTTCGAGACCGCTTCATGTGTCACGGTCTCGAGATTGTACTGGTGCGAAGTTGTAGATTACGATTCCATCACTTCTCGTTATTGAATAAACAATTGAATTAATCAAGCCAGTCGCTCACGCGTAGTGGTCTCCTGAGCTAATAAATCGAGTTTTTGGCCTCCAGACTCCCGGCTCCTCTCTCACGGCAATGGGATGCTGATACATACAAGGCATGCGGCTATGAGACGCCCAATAGAACAACGTGATATAAAAAGACAAGGGTTGCTGTCATCCAGCTAAAGTAGAGAAAATTTGCGAATGACCCTATGAATCAGGAACCTCCAACACGTCCTGCCAATACTCAGAGACTGGCAGGCGGATGGAATGTTACCACATATAAGTAGAAAAATTTTGACCTCAAAGAACCACAATCATGAGGAATCACACGTAGAAACGTGCGATTCGATGTAGAAAAGAGGAAACAGGGCGGGTCGACTCTGCGACCCCCTCATGAGTAGCATAGATGTATAGTCAAAGTGGAATAATGCAACGCGCAAACAGGAGATGGGATTGAAGAACCGAACCGGGGAAAAAGGAAAAAGGAAAGGAAATGGGAGTTAAGACAGTCGTCACAGGTAGGAAAATTATTCACTTGGCAATAGAAAGGGTATTATAGTGAGTCGCATCAGCGCGTTTGGAATCCATCACAGAAGGGATGGGGAGGTGATATCTAATAATGAACAAAAGGAACAGGAGATGTTTAGACATTGACACGGACCTTCCGTGAGTAGAACTGGTTCACCGCTGGGATGTACCAGCAGCGTTTGTCTCGGGTTGAGACTGAGGTGCACTCTGGCTTGACATTGCTAGTGCGTTGACGTTAGCTGACGCAAGTTGGGCTCTTAGAGCGGCGACTTCCGTTCGAAGTCCATTCAATTCGTCGTGCACCGAGCGGACATAAGCCCACAGCTTGTCTTCCCGCTCACGGAACTGCTCGATGAGGTTGGACTCGTGAGGACTGGTCATTTGGTTGCCATTATTCGAGGTCCCTTCTGATCCAGGTTTTGTCGGTAGTGGACCGCCGTGGTTGTTTGTGTGATTGTGAGGGGTCATGTGTTTTGTAGCTGTCGAAGGCGCCGGCGGCACTGATCCTTGAGAGTGAAGGCCGAACCGAGATTCAGACGAGTTCATCCCAGGGGGCGGCGGGAGCTGCGGAGCACCCGGTTGCGGTGGAGGCAGACCCAAGCCTGAAGCAGCATGATTCGTTACCGAACTCGAGGAAGATCCTGTCCTGCCAAATGTCTGCTGCTGGAACGACTGAGCCATGCCGGGCGAATGAGCACGATGATGGATGTTATTCTCCGGCCCATGGCCAAGCTGGTGCGATGACAGTGCATTTGGGGACAATGGTTTCGGGCTCCCCGTGATGTTTGTGGGGAAAACCGATGCCCCTGAAGGCTGACCAGGCGGTGGGAATGTCATGTTGCCGGACTGCGATACGGGAGACGTGGACGCACTAGAGCCACCATGGCTTGGAGGAGGAAAGAGACCCCCCGGGGAAGGTCTTCCTGAAGCGATCGGTGGATATGTGCTGGGCTGGCGTGGTTGATAGCTCGTAGTGTTTGAACGTGAAATGGAGTCCGTCGACATGTCATGCTTCTTGATGCTGGGCATGAGTCGCCGCTCTTCTTCCTCATCCATGCGCTCCGGCTCAGCTGTGTACACAAGTCCATCCATCGTATCATCCGCGGCTCCAGGGGCCGGAGCCTCGCCGTATTCATCCTCGGGAACGTAGCTTCCCATGCTTGCTCTGCGCCCTGCGCATCCGCCTTGGCCCTTGTTGTGGCGAGCTAAAGCGTCGCCACGGGCGAACCTGCGCCCGCACTTAGGGCAAATATGGGGCCGTTCGCCAGTATGAAGTTTAGTGTGTCTCTTCAGATCATGTAACCGACGGAAGCGCGATTGACATGTCTGGCAAACATATGGCTTCTCCTGACTATGCGTAAGCAAATGGCTCTTCAGGTTATGATGCCTGGTAAACTCCGTAGCACAGTATGGGCAACGATGCTTTTTGGCCGACGGTGACCGCTGGCCTTTGTGAAACCCAGAACCGGGTAGGCTGAGACCACGGCGAGGGTCATTGAAACTAGCCGTGGGCATCGGATACGAGAAGGCTTTGTTGCCTGTTTCTTGCGGCATTTCTCCGTCATCACGGTGGCGAGGATGGTCGCCATCTGCAGAGCCAGAATCCTCGATAGGACCAGGACTGGCCACGGTTGATGCATCGATAAGTGTGTTATTGTTATCGGCTGCCCCGAACGTATCAGGTGCATTGCCTGGGCCTGAATGTGAATCAACTTGCATTTGGTCTGACGAAGATTGCATGCCCTCATTCACGGGATTTGTCTGCTTCTCGCTGGCACCGAGGGCCTCTCTCGCAACTTGTGAGCTGTGCTGTTCTGATTCCTTCTCGTGCTCCAGCGGGCGATCTGTCTGGCCAGCCGTGGCCGGCGGTGCGGTCGTCGTCATTGGTGGTAGCGAATCGCCGGAGCGCGAAACGTTCAGACCTGCACTGGCGATAGAGGACAGGCTTGAATCAGGCTTTGACTGTTTCAGAAAAGCGAGCGGTTCCGACGGAGCGGATATTACGGGGTTCGATGGCCCTGGCAATGGTTTTGAGATAGGAACAGGTTCGTTGTTCGATTGCATCAATGCAGCCATGGATAATGGATGTTTCGCGCCAGCCTGAAAGGGTTGGCGAAGGTGTGGGAAAGCTAAGTCAACAGAGGCCATGTCAGTAGGAGTAGTCTTTCTCCGGTGATGAGTGGGGAGTCATGGAAGATCCGGGGCGACCAAGAAAGAGGGGATAAAAGGGCACCAGATGTCCGAGGGCACAACGGACATATAGAAAGCAATGAGGCAGGACAAAAGAACGAGTAACATTGATCAGAGGCACTGTTGCGTGGGGCGCTCACCTAGAACCGAGTGTGGCGCAAGCTGACGGGAGGTTCAGCCTTCGCGCGATGTCTTGTCAGACAATGAGGTCCCACAGATACAGATACGGGCCTCGCAGGAGGTAAAAACAGCGGTCAGCCTTGCAATCAGATGAAGAAGGTTGAGTCTAGCGCCCGCACGATCTGGATCCGGATCTGGTGGGAGGAGGGGGGTGGAGGGGACTTTAGTCCATCTGGTGGAAAGCCGTATGAGAATGCTTGGGTTAGGCTGCAGGGAGGAAGCTGGAACCCGCGATTGTCAAAGCAACGACGTCAGGAGAATTATGCAGAGCTATGTCGTTGAAAGCTGGTCAATGTACGAGTGACATGAATCTCCAGCAAAGCATGAAGTCTTCGAAAAGAAGAAAAGAAAAGGCAAGGGGGAGGAGAAAAGGGTGGGAGGAAAGATGGAGAGCTTTCGGGAGACGGAAGAGGGACTGTTGGCGGAAGGATGTAGAAATGAACGAAAATCCCCAAAGAACAAGGACTATTGGACGATGATGAAGCGTCAGAAGGAAGATGGAAGAGGTGGGACCGGGTTTATTACGAAGTGGATTGAATAAAGAGAGACGCCAAAGGAGGTGAAGAAAAAGAGGAAGAAGAAGTCAGTTGGTGGAGAGAGAAGCATAAAACCTGATGCAGACAGACAGTGGCAGAATGGATACAGGAGGGAAGGCAGGCAGGCAGGCAAGAGAATAGTGTAGTTGATTAGTTAGTTCACTTTGGTTCGCAGTAGTAAGCAGGAGGTGAATAACTAGCAGCAGTAACAATACTAAATAAGTAAAGTACTGTGAAAGGTTGTAATGTTGGTTTCGGGTCGCCTAGGGAGCAGCCGCGGGGATCGTTCCTGATTGGGTCAGGCGGTCAAAGCGAAACAAACTTCCAGGTGGAAAGAAAAAAAAAGATTTCTATCAAAAAACAAGACTAGAGAGGAGGGAAAAAAAGAGGTATAGTCACAAAAATGAGGAGATATTCAGCGTGAGACCAAGATAAGTCTGATATAACTCAGCGTACACATACAGAGCGAGAGGGAAAGAGAGAGAGAGAAAGAGGAGGAGAGAAGAGCCGGAAGAAGAACACGAGGAAGGCAGAGTGGCTGGAGAAGTGGCCCGTAACCCATTGATGACCAAGGGTACGGGCGGCTCTGCCGGGTGGACGCTGGTCAGGAAACCGGAAACTTTCCAACTTTCCCGTCCCATTTGAGGCGTTGCGTATTAATCACCGCCGCATGGGCTGAGCAAACTGAAAGCTTGCAGATAACTAGATACTCCTGTATGTAGTATGAAATAAAAGTAAATTCGCCCATTTGGGGCATCATTCTGAAGATTACTACTACACAGTTACTGGATAGCTTAATGTGATGCTCTCCTCCATATTGAGGGTGACGATGCAGAACCTTTCCCCTCAGCATGGGCCTTTGGGGCTGAGTATACAAGATCTACGGAGTACTTACTAGTGAACTACTCACTAGTAATTTACTACAGAGCACGGTGTACAGAGTGCCTGCCTTACCAGATACACTAAAGTTCTTAGTCTCGATAACTGAGAAGCAGCTTAATATAGAGGGTGCGTCTTGGCATTCATGGAGAGGCAAGATAGTAGTCCATTCTCATGATCCACATCCACGTATTCTACACTAATCATCTTGAGTTTTGTATAATTGCTTCATTCATGGATGTCGTGTAGGTTCAATAACCTGTCTCTATCAAACAATCACGGAATAAAAGGGGTTGCTGCCACTGTACGTAAGTAATGTCCAACTGTGGAGCATCGCCTACTCTTACTACAGACCATACTACTGCAGGTTACATAGTACGTTTGCGTCTATTGGTTGGCTTCAACAGACCCTACAGCTGAAAACTTGATTTCATTAGCTGACAAGCGACGCCTTGCCACAGTTATGGGACATTCCAGAGCCTGAAGAAATGAGCGTAAAGCACAAGACACAGCCATATGGTGGGTGGCTGAACCGGAGGATACAGACAAGGTCTGCCGACTCCCATTTATGCATGAAAAAGTGGGACGGAAAAAAAGAGGAAGAGGGACAGAGAGAGAAAGAGAAACACACACAGGAGACCAAAGGGAGACGAAAGCTGAAGGTGCCAATAGAGTACGGTGTTCTCCGTATGCAGGACAGTGGAACTACAGAAAAATTCCTCTACATTGGGTCACTGGGTTGGGAGGGCTATACTAGATTCAGGAGAGGCGGATGGAAAATGAGGCTGTGTGGCTAGGCTGAAACTTCATTGTGGCTGGCAGTCCAGCTGCGGAGAAAGCTGGTGGCTCTGGGCGCCTGACCAGTTGGAACCCGTTTTCTAGAACCGAGTGGGGGGGTCACACGGTGGCTGTACAGGCCCACCGCCTGCCCGACATGCGCTTTGGGCCTCTTCTCATTTGTTCTCCACCCACCAACAGCTGCCATGTTTTATTCCTAATCATGTTACGACTACTTAATACAGAGTAAAGGAGTAGTACTTTGTGTCGTACTAACAATGCTGCTCACTACCCTTGTGACCCAGATTGGTACTACATAGGAAGTAGTCCTTCACTCATTACTTAGTACTCTACTCATCACTTTTTCATGGTCTCTGCACGCCAAACTTACTAGGTCACCACGGTAAGCGAAGATGGCTTAGAATTCCAGCACCAATACATCACTAGTCGTTAGTACTTACTTTCCTTTTTTGCCTTTTCCTCAATATCGAGACATTCAGGGTCTTACAACATGTGAATTTACTCCGGAGTAAAGCTAAGAAGAGGCCATACGCCTAATATCTGATCCTCCCTACTACTACTCCCGAGGCTGCGATCTCCGTCCGCAAGCTCCCTTATTGTCCCCCTTGCCGTTATGTCATTATCCAGCTTCTCGGAGTACTCCGGATCCCTTTGGTGTCCAAGACTGATAGCCCCGAGTCATGGCATGCGTGTCTTCCAAACTTTGTCCACAACAACATAGTTCCGACAGTAGACCCCTTGAATTACGCGCTGGGGTGTGAACTAACTTGAGGGTGCTATAACGAGTCGCTCGTTTGTTTCCCGTTAGAAAACTCTTCTTGGCCCTCTGTATCATGGAAGGTGGATCAGTAGTAGGTGATCCAAAGCATTCGTCATGATATTTTTAGGCAACATCGAGCCAGATATGTCATGTGCTAGTGGTCAAGGCATCCACGATGATGAAGAATATGTCCTATTTATACAACAGCAAAGTTGTGCTATCAGTGGGATTTCAGGGTTGGTAGTAAGACTCTGCTTACCAAGTACCTACGCACTGGTACTTGGCCATGTGGTTCAACAACTACCCGCCTGTGATGATAGTATGGGAGGATACACGGCAGATCCTTTAGTGATATCAGTCTCTGAATGTCATACGCTACATAGAATAGAACAATATACCAAGTGAATATTCAATAGATTTGCTCATTTATCTGTCATGTCATGATGCACTCAGTTTGTTAGCAATGCAGCTACAGGCGGCTCATCCGGGGGCAATTGTTATCTGTATAACCGTGTTTCCTCTTACTTGGGTAGTAGCATATGTATGACTTTCGGTTCACCTCAATAAATGATAGTTGATTTTGAGCCGTTTCCATCTCCTGGGAGAATAAGTCTAGGGTTCGTGTCTAATCATCGTTTTCTAACCTAACAACGTCGTCACCATTTTTTTGATCATCGCAATAAAGGGAGTATTCTTCATAGACCGGAGTCCTGCAATATTTGATCTTTCTTGAGGGCTTAGTTTGCTCGCTCATGCTAGCCATGATAAGAATTGCTCAGTTGACATTTGCATACCGGTGATTGAAATTTTACTATGTTCCATGCTGGGTTAAGGAATAGAGATCCCTCAGAAGATGTCTACAGCTTATGATGAGGTCGGGGAGCGTAAGGCTTCTATTTGTGATGTGGCGAAACTGTAACATCTGTGTCGAGCGAGAATTGTCTTTTCCTTCATGCGTGATTGTGCTTCTGATGAATTTGCGATGTTGGACAACAACTCGCCTATCGGAGTCCTCTATATTTCGAGTTGGAGAGACTTACGAGCACAGAAAATGCCACCCAACACTCGAGAGAAAGATTTTGGCATCTCATTTCCTGGGCAGGCCTAACTGTGAGCTTTTGTGAAAGTTTCGGGCGCGACCGAGAAGCAGGAATCGCAGGGCTGAACGTTGCGTTGATCTAGCTTGACTGTCCGACAGATAGCGTGTCCGCAGCTCTCAACCGTCAGGAGAGGGGGAAGAAAGGACATGCAATTTGAGCTAGTGCTCACGAAAGGCAATGTGCACGACTATTGCCCCTTCCAGGTTCTCAAGGTTCGTGTCCCAACACATGCAGCCCCTGATGCTGGAGTACCAAAGTCGTTGCCAAAGAGCACGAACGCTTGGATTTACGCCAGCTCATTGGTCTAGGCTGGAGGGAGAGGCCGATTCCTAGACTTCAATCTATACTGCTTCTGAGATATCACAGACACCCTAAGTCGGTTCGGTGCGCATACAGATAATACCCCTGTACCTGATCTGGTCGTCGATTGGGGATCACATCATTGAGTGCTCGCCTCCCTCGCTATTCGATGCAAGGTTCCATATCCTGGACGAGGAAATCATGGCCTGTGTTGGCACGTCAACATGGAAGAATTGCCATGGCACAGAAGAGGAGAAAAGCAGCCGGAAGAGTCCAGAGAAGAGGGCGCTTAAGCGCCGTGACGGGAATGATGGATGTGATAACCAGTGCAGCTGGCCGGGGACTAGTAGCTCAACACGTGAGGGGACGAAGAGGGGGGAAAGGGAAGGAAAGGAAGGAAGGAAGGAAGGAAGGGAAGGGTCACCTTCACCCCATCCACTCCCAACCCGTCAATTTGGTTCTCTCAATCCTCTCATTCTTCCCCTTCCCCCGATGTCACTCCCAGCGACTAAGTATGGATCAAGACAGGGTGAGTGTTCATTCTGTTCCGCTGTCTTTCCGAAAGCACGCACAACCCTCCCATATCAACTGACTGATCCCTTCCTCCAGTACTAGTAGATAAACCCCTCATGGATTTTTCTTCTTTTGGAGCTACTCGGAACCTGCAGCAGAAATCCTGCTGTTGACTCTCGCGGGCGTTGATGGCCGGCGGTTCTGCAACATCTGTGGTTGGCTGGGCCCCGAGACGATCAACAGTTGGCGCCGGGAAGAAGAAGCCAGACCGGCTGATTGACTCTCCTCATTCGCTCCACGGGTGACAGGCCGTGCATCTGGAGTGACAGCACGGGAACCTCCATGGCCTTTGCCCCGGCGTATCGCGACTTTCCCCACTGTGATAAGCCAGTCCAACTGCTCTAGTGGTGTTACTCGATATCCAGTCATCGTGCTCCTCACCCCTGTCGTCCTCTACTCACACCCAAGACCATCCCTCGACCACCCAATCACTGGCTTCCCTTTGATGTGCTGCATGTTGCCGGGCGCTTATTTTCCCCTTCACATACAGTCCATACAATCCAGCTCGCGATGTGCGCTCCCCCGCCTGGCGACGGATGGCGAGGCCAGGGCCCATCATTGATATTCAAATCGGTCATGCTGCCCAGAGATCGTCTTGCCCTCGCGGCTCCTTCATCTTCTTTTTCTTCTCTGACTCCAAACGTATCACTTCAGCCTTGCGCTGTGGCCCGCCGCTTGGTTCAACCTGTGCAGGATCCAAGAAGTGATCTCAAGTGAGGTGCAAAGCCAAGCAGTAGGCCATCGGTTCGTTCTCTTCCACGTTGATCCCTTACCCTATGTCTCCCAAGGTGAACAATGTCCAACTGATAGTCCTTCACAGTCAGGGCTTGCACGCTTGCCTCATCGTCGTCCTACATCTAGGTATGTGCCTTTTGAATATTCAGTTCACAGCTTATGGGGACATGATCCTACAAACTTTGCATTGGCTCTTTCTTTTGTCCTGCTTGGAAGCTAACTAGTGTGGCTTTAGGCTTGATGCTTGTGTAGCTGTGCTGTCACAAGTGCCTGCTGTACTCCACAGCTGGCAATCTCCCGGGCGAAGGTTGAGAGCTGGTTCTCTTCACACCTTTCGAGTTCTCTGCAAGCCTCCTTTGCGCTCAGCGACTTTGCCTGCCTGCACCGCCCGACAGTCACTATCGCTCCCCTCGGCCCTTAGAAGCAGTGTCGCCTGTGGCTCTTATCCAGTCACAAACCCGGGGTAATGGCGCTACCATCACAACCTGCTGTGACTACAGAGGACCGGAGCTCTTCCGAGTGGTCGAGTTCCTCGCTGAAGGGTGGTCGAACAGCTCGCTTCGCAGAAGCAACCATGATTCACTCCCCTTCTAGTCCCGGAGATAGCGGAAAGTCTCCTTTTGCCGACCCTCCCAGCAATTCGCAGACGCCCCCTGACGTGTCTGACCTCGGCTTCGGCTATGTAGCTGCGAGTGACCCTGCCAAGCATGCCTCGCATCACGATATTCCGGCCAATGACCAGAAGGGTGCTCTCAAGGTTCCAGGCACTCCAGGCCGGACTTTGAATCCGTTGAGTCCAACGTTTCGAGAGGAATTTTTCGTGGAGAAGCAAGAAAAGGTCACGGAAAAGGAAAACCAGAGAGACCTGGTAAGTGATTGCGAGTGTATTTGTTGACCTGCCTGGGTGCTTATCCAAGTTGCTATAGCGTATCAAGTTGCGTGTTCGGGTAGCCAAGGTGTTCCTTCGTTTCATCAACCTTGGCTGCAGTATGATTGTCCTTACCATCCTGGGAACGACATTGACTGTCTTCAACGCAACGAAGTCACTGCCTGAGCGAAACACTTCCCCTCCTTGGGAATTTGGCACAAATCCTTGGCCACAATATCTGCTTCTAGCCGTTTCATGTCTCTCCTTGATTGCCTGCCTTGGTGTCTTCTGGGGCTACTGGAGAGGTGGACGCAGACGTGCACAGAAATATGCGGCTTATTACTCGCTCCTGTCGGTGTTCCTCTTCATCTTCCAACTAGTCATGTGGATTGTTGCCGCCGCAATCTTTGAACATTCGAAGGCTACTGGAGACGACAAAGACCTATGGGGCTGGGCTTGTGTCCATAACGAGAGAGAACAACTATTCAAAGACCAAATCGACTACGCACTCCTCTGTCGTCTGCAGGTAAGTCAGCTCTCTAGCCAGTACTTGCTACATACTAACGAACATCTCACAGGACTGGGGGTTGGTCTGTGCCGTCATTGAAATCGTCCTCGAAGTCTTTGTCCTCGTAATTTACGGTGTCATTTTCTACCGCTTCTGGAGCAAGAGAAAGCTGGCCAGGTCGATGGACCGTCGAGACAGAGCACGAACAGACCTGTACATCGCTCAGCTCCGCCAGAACATGGACCCCAACACGCCCGGATTTCCCACCATGCCCAAGGCTCCCTTCGTGTCAACCTCGATTCCTCAAGACCAGTACTCTGCTGCTGAGAACGGACAGATGTGCACAACCCAGTTCGCCACTCCCCCGACTGATTACAAAAAGCAGTCGGCGTTCCAGCTTCAGCCGCCCCCGATTAGGGTGCAGCAGGCATCTCCACAACCGGTGCAGAGTGAATTCCCACCGCCACCTGCGCCGGCACCGGTTCCAAGCGCTCCTAACCAGCACATGGGTGCAGCACCCGGCGAACGAACCTATGAGTCTGTGCCCATTCCCGGTGCTTATGCCGGTCCTATGAGTCCTAGCTTTCCGCACGGAACCCACCAGTAAAATCCCTGACCGTTGCCTTGCTGGCTGGACATAAGTCTAGAAGAGAAAATAAGGAAAAGGATCATGTCTTTAAATACTGACACACCAGTCCAGCTTTTAAAGACTTGGCCCTCAAAGATTGCCTATAGCTCTTGTACTCTTTGATGATGATTGATCTGTTTTCGATATGACGTGGTCCCTCACCTGTTTCTGGACTACCTCACGGCCGTTTCCCCCCTATCTATTGATTACCCTTCACTTTCTATATAAGTGTCAGCTTTGTTGTTTAATTGTTTTTATACCAGTGATACACTCAACTACGTTGGCTTTTTGTCTAATCATTTCCTCTGTTTCCTTATGCCGTGGCCTATACAGGCATACAAGGCATGTAATTGCGGAATACGAATATTGGTTGGAGGTGGTTAATTATGGTGTTGTTGTTCTTGGTTGCGAACAGCCAGAATGGTGGGTTGCGTTAGTTGGACAAATAGTTAAGATCTTTTCAAGTAAAGAGTAACCGGATCTCTTCGTTATTATGTAAACAAGGGAGTGTCATGGCGTTCATGGCATATCCAGCAACGTATGAACATGTAAAATAAAAACGAAACCATAACGTTAACCATCCCTGACATGTAGGTCTATCACCTACCCAAGTGGAACGCGAATAAGTTGAAAGAAACGCACACCACCCACCCAGCCACTAGAACTCCCTCCCAATAGCAAACAGAAGCCTATATCCAACCGGAAGAAAAATGAACATCCCTCGTATCGCATCGTTTGGCATTCCATACAAAGACCGTGACTGTACAATCATTCACGTCCGCACACGCAAAGGCAGAACTGTCATATGAGCTCTGGATTATATGGCTCCTTCTTCGAGAACGGCATTTGCATCCTTCGAAACGAAGATCTCCTCCAGCTTACCGGCACCGACGCCGTCCGACCCATCATCGTTCCGTAAGACCAAGCCCTGCTCATTGGCCAAGTGAAGCAGACAAATGAACCCAAAGGAGGTGCTGATGTCGCGGAGTGTTTCTCGGGGATACACTGTCTTCAATGAGTTCATGATCTGGGTAAATCGAAGGCTCTCGTTTGCTTGTTTCTCGTCCTCGGGTCCATGGTCTGGGCTGGTATCCATCGGCTCCGGCTCCTGCTCCGGCCGCGCTTCAGCTTCAGCATCATGAGTTTCTGCTTCCACAGAGGACTTTGTAGGGTCTTCAGCCGGGGGAGCAGGCTCGAAATGCGTAGTTGATATCAGCCGCTCACCCATGCCCTTCCACATCTCCACTTTCAGTCGCCGGACGTCCACCTTCTTGGCAACTCGTGCATATGCCACGTAGTCAGGTCGTGCCCTACGCGCGCCCTGCGTTACCAGCTGCGAGCCAAACCCACCACTGTTCTGCGTGGCCCCAGGGGCCGATCCCATCATATTGAGAAGGGCACTAAGACCTGTTGCACCGCCGGCCTCGCCCGCGGATGTGCCTGGAGGTCCATCAGCAGGAGGAGACAACATTTCCCTGGCATCTGCAAAGGGGAGGTTGTCGTCATCATCATCCAAGCCGAAGCCGTTGGGGAATGCCAGACCATCATCATCTGCAAAGAAGTTGGCATCATAAGCACCCTGAGCGCCTTCTTCGGACGCTGCAGCATCCTCCACCTTGTGATTAGCCCAGAATGCCTCGTCCATCTCGCCGTTACCTGCCGTCTGGTCTTGTCGTCGCTGAGTGAATTGCCGAGGACCTGTCAGCTTCTTTGAGCCCATCTTAGCCTTAGGTTTCAAGAACAGACGAAGTAGCTGGCGCGAATTGAAGTGTTTGTCATCCGGAAGTAGGTTGCGTCCTTTAGTCTTCCACTGCGTCTTGGGCAGGGATATGGTGGAGTTGGAACTGGCCGGAGTGTATATTATCTCAGCAATAGCCGGGTCCAAAGGAGCACCAAAATCGATTTCAAAGGGCTCCTTCTCCTTGCGCTGCTTTGGTGCCAGATTGGCATTCGTTGTGGCCGTTTGCTCCTTGATTCGCCGGATCTTCCAGTGCTCGGGGCCAGCCCAGTTCTTTTGCAGGGCGTTATCAAAATAGCTAAGGATGTTCTCATGGTCCCGGTTCTCTGGCTGGTGGCTGAGAGAGATAGTATATGGATCTTCATTGTCGAGCTCTTCACCATCAGCGTTCTCGTCACCTTCTCTATCGACGCGGTGCACCTTGAGCATTGGTTCCAGAGCAGCCTCACGTGCCCACGCCTCACCACCGTCACCAAAACCAGCATCGCCACCTAGGTCGAATCCGGCTAACGTAGCGTCGTCATCATCGAATCCCACGGCATTATCGTCATCGAGCATGATACCCGATGCATCGTTGGGGTGCTGACTTTCCTCCTTGTCGTTACGCCAGTCTTCGGGGGCTTTCAGGAAGGGTATATCTAGCGAGCCGCTCGGATCACCGAGGTCGAAGTTCTTGAGTGATGGGCAGATATCCTGGGTCTCGAGGCGGTCCAGATCCGGAAAGAATTTGCTCGCCAGCGGAGCTATGTCGATCTTTGCGTTATCATCAAAGACATTATCCGCCGACTGGCTGGGGCCGGATGGGGAGCCTGGCTGCTGGGGTTCTTCTGACTCTTCCAAGTCTTGATTGGCATCCTCTGCATCCTTGGAGGTCTCCTCAGCGGCATCGTCACTGCTGTCAAATACGATGCGCCCTTGGCTATCTATTGATAGGTGGTTAAGGAGCAGGCCTTTAGCACCACCTTCATCAAAATCCGCCGAGGCTTTCTTAAACAGAGGATCAACTGAAAATTCCAGCTCAAACTTCTTTAGCTGGAGCGAAGCGAAGGAGGGGGCAAGGGTAGCTTCATGTGTCCGTTGTG